CCCCAAAACCCCAAAACCCCAAAACCCCACAAAGAAAAAATTGATAAATTATTTAAATTTTAGAAAATGAGAAAATTATAATATATTATAGAAATGAATCAAAGCTTATAAAAATAGCAATCCGACTATCCCCATCAATTAAATCACCACACTTCTGTTCTTCCTACAAGAGAGGTGATCCCATCTAGATAAAATCTCATATCTGACGTTCAACAGCCAAAGTAGCAGCAGTAAATGCAACAAGAATTTCAAAGACCAATTGTTTCCCTAAAGTAAAAGATGCAAGAGAAAGAAGAGTAAAAGCAATAAAGGGCTTAGAAAAAAATAAATAATAGTCTATCAGTAGATAGATGTGATGAGTGTAAGAAAGCTGAGTTAGTCACAAATCACGTTGAGGGTACTATTGTATGTCAAAACTGTGGTCTTGTTTAGTAACAGCGTATTATTGATGATAGCTCAGAGTGGAGGACATTTTCAAGTGAGACATCTAGTGGTGGTGCTAATCCAAGCAGAGTTGGAGGCAGACTCAACCCCTATTTGTCCAATTACGGAATTGACACTAGAGTAACAGGCAACAATGCAAGTGAGATTCAAAAGTGGAGTGATAGATCCTCTCTCAATGCTAAAGATAAACTTATATCAAAGGGTTTAAGAGCCATTAAGGATTACGCTCAAATGCTTAATATGAAAGAAGGAACTATTAATATGGCTTGTGACATTTATAAAGAAATTGAAGACAAGGAAATTCTTAGGGGTAAAAGTGTCAATGGCAAGGTTGCTGGCGCAATTTACTATGCTAGCAGAAAGAACAATCAACCTAGATCTCTTAAGAAAATTCTAGCAACAATGCAAGTTAATTTCAAGGAACTTAACAGTTGCACGAAGAAAATAAGAGAGCTCTTCCCTGATGAAAGAGTAATTGTCAAGCCTTGGCAACTTGCTGATCAGGCTTGCAATAAATTAGAACTTGGTATTGATGTCAACAATGCAGCAAAGCATACTGCAGAGTAGATTTACAAACTGGAGATAGCAACTGGTAGATAACCTTAGACTATTGCTGGAGTAGCAGTCTTCATAGTCTCTTAACTTTCTACTTAGAAGAAATCTCTAAGTGAGATAGCTGAGTCTCTATCAATTACTGAACAAACAATCAAAACTGCCTATAAAGAGATTTATGAATACAGAACAGTGGTAATTCCTCCCTATTGGAAGCATAAAGAGAGTGTTGACTCTCTGCAAAAGCCTTGAAATTGAAAAACCTTAATTATAAACAGTTAGTATAAATACAACAGAAATTGATAAGTTTAAATTTTATCTAAAGATTAGTTGGTTCAACAAATTTTTAATTCACATCTTATGGGGTTTTGGGGTTTTGGGGTTTTGGGG